GTTTATCGCTTGTGTGATGTCCTGGTGGGGTAGAAAGTCAGTCAGTCAGTCATTTCTTTGTCATTTACTTTCTTTTTCTGTCGCTTTTACATTCTCTTTCATTCTCCTTCACTCTTTCTTCTTCTTGTGCACTCTCTTCTCTCAGTGTCCCTCTCAATTCTCTCTTTTTTTTTTTCGTTCCTGAACCACCTCTCACTCTCTAATTTTATTCTTACACTTTCACAAACTGTCTCACACTTACTCTCTTTCGCACATCCACTTCTTGTATCTCTTTTTACTTCTCTCTTTCTGTGTGTTAGCTTGTGTATGTGTGTGTGTTTATACACACGCATACACGTCAGCGCTAGCACATATAAATACAGACCAACAAATCGTCAAATTACACCGGTATGAGAATGTTTTATTATTATCAACAAGTCACCACATCCCACCACCACCAGTTATATCAAGATGGTCGGCATAGTTGAAACCAAATAGAAGCTAGAAGTGATCGAGAGTCATTGGAATAATACGTGATCAATAGTAACAGTTCAACAAGAATTCAGTTAAAACATGACAATACTTATGTGTTGTTTCTTCTCATTGTTTCTCTTCTCCCTTGCCTCTTTCTACTCCTCTTTTTTTCTGTATCTTCATCTCCTTCTCCTCTTCATCCTTGTTGTTGTTGGTGTTGTTGATATTGTTGTTGTTGTTGTTGTTGTTGTTGTTGTTGTTGTTGTTGTTGTTGTTGTTGTTGTTCTTCTTCTTCTTCTTCTTCTTCTTCTTCTTCTTCTTCTTCTTCTTCTTCTTCTTCTTCTTCTTCTTCTTCTTCTTCTTCTTTCTTCTCTGCTTCTTCTTCTTCTTATTCTTCTTCCTCGTCTTCTTCTTCTTCTTCTTCTTCTTCTTCTTCTTCTTCTTCTTCTTCTTCTTCTTCTTCTTCTTCTTCTTCTTCTTCTTCTTCTTCTTCTTCTTCTTCTTCTTCTTCTTCTTCTTCTTCTTCTTCTTCTTCTTCTTCTTCTTCTTCTTCTTCTTCTTCTTCTTCTTCTTCTTCTTCTTCTTCTTCTTCTTCTTCTTCTTCTTCTTCTTCTTCTTCTTCTTCTTCTTCTTCTTCTTCTTCTTCTTCTTCTTCTTCTTCTCCTTCCTTCTTCTCTTCTTCTTCTTCTTCTTCTTCTTCTTCTTCTTCTTCTTCTTCTTCTTCTTCTTCTTCTTCTTCTTCTTCTTCTTCTTCTTCTTCTTCTTCTTCTTCTTCTTCTTCTTCTTCTTTTCTTCTTCATCTTCTTCTTTTTCTTTTCTTCTTCATCTTCATTTTCTTCTTCTTCTTCTCTTCTTCATCTTCTACTTCTTCTTCTTCTTTTCTTCTTTATCTTCATTTTCTTGTTCTTCTCCTCCTCTTCTTCTTCTTCTTCTTCTTTTCTTCTTTATCTTCTTCTTCATCTTCTTCTTTTCTTCTTTATCTTTATTTTCTTCTCCTCCTCCTCTTCTTCTTCTTCTCCTCCTCCTCCTCCTCCTCTTTTTCTTCTTCTTCTTCTTCTTGTGACACAGATACTCAGCTATGTCACTTCACGATTTTAAGAAAAAAATTATTTATAAATGGTTGACATTTCGCCACTGAAGTACTTTATGTACTATGTCAATCAGTGATACTGAAGGCTCAGTTTGAGTCACTTCAATCAGTCAATGAATGAAGCGCCATCTCCACAGTTGCAACTCCCGGGTAAAACGTATCATCTTTTTCTGATAGACATTTGCTCCCTGTTTATTCCAATCCCTGACTCTGATGGTGTTAAGGCACTCTGTCCTTTTTGGACAGAAGATCCAACCCCATCACCCCAACTACAACTCTTGTACGCCTTGCCGAGCTAGTACTGATCCTAAACTCTTTTGAGTTCAATGGTGAGTATTTCGACCAGATCAGTGGGGTCGTGATGGGCACCAAGATAGGTCCCAGTTCCTCGTGCCTCTTTATGGGCCACCTTGAACATGAGTATGGTTTATCCTACCCGGGGAAGTTTCCGGAGGTGTATAGGAGGTACATAGATAATTGTGTTGGTTTTACCTAAATATTTATAGGTGAGCTAGACCTGTTCATCCATTTTATCAACAAATTCAATCCAGATAAAGAACTCCCCTTTCTGATCTCCAGGACTCTAGTAAACTTTCTTGACATCACGGTAAGCATCGATTTCCCTGTTTGAAGACTACAGACTACTTCAAAGCTACGGATTATTACAGCTACCTATTCCATAGATCGTCATCTCACCCAATGCCTTGTAAAAATTCTATTCCATACTCACAGCCACTCCAACTTCGCATGTTGTAAAAAAAAAAGTTAAGATCACTTTTCACGCCTTTCGGCGCAACGGGAATATGGGCAGAGCGTCCCATATTTTTACAGACCATCAGCACTCGGTAGGTAATGTGGTCAGCATTACGCCGTCTGTCTTTACTTTCCCAGGACAGCCCATCCTGGTACCCATTTTAGGCTGGGTCGACCTGCGACGTCCCATACCACGATAAAAATCCACGCAGCCTGCAGTGGGTTTCGATCGCGGTATGCTGGCTTACGAGTCGGACTCGCAACGCCTTAGCCACGGACGCCGCTTCGCATGCTGTACTCCGATGATTGTCACTTCTTTGAAAAATCAGTTTAACTTCTTGACCCCTTCCGTGCCCGCTTCTATCTGGAATACATCTTACAAGAGGCTTTGAACTAAGTATATATATTCATAATCAGAAGAGATGCTCCCCCGTGTGGGTTCCGGGGCCCCATTGTGGGGAAAACAAGAATTGATCCACTGCCTCCCCAAAAGCATTCCGTAAGAGTCGACTAATTGGGGAGCTTCCTTTGAAGTCGGAGTGCATCTGCCGGAGAGGCAAGGAACCAACAGTCTGTATTCAAGAGAATGAGATCTGTAAAACTGATGCACACGCAACACTCAGGTTCTGGAACAGGACTGCAGTTCAGTAGTGGACGATCAACCAGAACTTTCCCCCAGAGTGTACAGCTGGTGAACGTGAAGAAGAAGAAGAGATGCTTTCTCCACCAAGCGTAATTCCACCAGTGATAGACCTAGATTGATTTTTAACTTTTCATCCTAACAATGTCGTTGCTTTCAAAGTATTGTTTTGCCATTTGGACATACTCCGCTCTGATTCGGACACCAAGATGATCTTTAGTGAGAAGCCGAGACTAGTTTATAGACGAGACCGCAACCTTAAACCAATCCCTCTTCATTTTAATAGCTCTGACCACAGAAGCAAAGATTATATATTTGTCACAGTGGTACAATCCTGCTTTGGCGATCATACCACGCGCTTACCTTTGGAAAATCGTCTCATCCACAGTCTAGGTATTCTTAGTCAAGGAGGCATCAATGTCCAGTATCCTTCATCTGATCTGTTGTACTACTGCCATGTTATTTTTATTTTTATTGTATTGTTTTTACTGTATTGTTTTAATGTTTTTTTTTTAAATTGTGCTTTAATATTACTTTATTCAAGAGAATGAGATCTGTAAAACTGATGCACACGCAACACTCAGGTTCTGGAGCAGGGTTGCAGTTCAGTAGTAGACGAGCAACCAGAACCTTCCGCCAAAGTTTACAGCTGGTGAACGCGAAGAAGAAGAAGAATATTACTTTATTCTATAACTTGTCAGTACCATTTATGAATCAGTTAGGTTGTATTTCTATTACTCTTTTATTCCTGCTATTATAATATATTATCACTATTACTTTTACGACTATTTTTCGAGCATCCGTTGTTGCATCCTCAGGCAAACATACGTCGACTCAATTAGTATGCTCAGGAAGATAGAGAAGGGCTGAGTCCGATGGCAATGGTTGGTGACTCTACAGAATTCACGGCTGACAAGGATTAATTTCACTTTTGTGCCATGACATGTGGGGTTACAAGGTAATAAGCAAGCTGATAGTCTTGCAGGTAATGCTGCTGTGACAGGTGGACAGGCCATGGACCAGGCTGATATACTGAATGCTCTACGAGATTTAAAACGTTTGTATGAATCAACTGAGAACTGTAAATCTACAAACATGGTCAGACTGTAAAAACAGCGAGTTAAAGGGATGGTCTCTAAACAAGAATACTAGGCGGGTAGCCAAAGAAGAAGAATAAACCAATACAGAACTGGTGTCGTCAGCTGCTACACGCTGCGGGATTTACTGAGGAGGGGATCTGAGCACTTATGGGATGAGTAGTTTGACGAGCAATAAGGATAATCTGTGGACTAACTAACTTCGTCGATTTCGAAGGCAACGCCGATCATTTATATAGCGGTCAGGTCCCTGGTTGGAAACACGCTTCTAGGATCGATCAGTACATTGAATATTTACTGTGTAGGATGACGGAGAGATGTATATCAGTCTGGAGCAGTCTGTGACCTTGTCTGAGTGCACCACCACACGTTCAGAACCTTTGCATCCTTGATTTATGTCTGATGTTGAAAATGTCTACCTGCTAATGTTTACTTTCCATCTTCATGTTACTGTCACAGTAAAATAAACCCAGTTTATAAACTATTGCTACTCTGAATAACATGAGAGAAACTCTACAGCACCACGATGTGTTTTTGGTCGAAGCAGCCAGAAACGTATGAAGCAGGACCTTATATCTCCCTCGACACCCGAAGCGGTGAAAGAGGACGTAAGAAAGAAGAAGCCACTCTGTTGTCAGTACGTTACTTGTAATTCATCCAAAAGACAATTTGGGAGTTTCGGGGAAGTCCAATATTCTAGAGGAGTTATAAGTTGGAGTTACGGTTAGGGTTAGGGGTTATAGTTAAGGTTAGGGGTTACCGTTAAGGTTAGAGTTAGGTGGTTAGGATTAGAGTTAGGGGCTAGATTTAGAGTTTGGGTTAGTCGGTTCTCTGAGGTGGTCTGGGCTGATAAAGATCCTAACCCCCAACTCCTAGAATACTAGACTTTCCCGGGAGTTCCGTTACTGCCGTTGTTCGGGGTGATTTAAAAAATAAATTGTCTGATGTCTTGTGTTTGGCTTGATGTCTATAAATAAGCATTATCATTGCGACAGAAGTATGAGGCTCTATACAAGAGAAACCCGTTACAGTTGTCATTAACATGGGAGCAGAGATCATCGCTTTCTTTACCGTTGTTGGAGTGTGCAATGTATCCTTTGACCAGGCTTGGTCTCTGGAAGCGATGCAGCTGAAGAGATGGGGCCGAGAATACCACTGACTGCGAATCCGTCCTTCTACGGGAAAACTGGCGTCTGATTTCGTTTCTGAACTTTCTACCGCTTAAACAGTACAGGTAGAAATTGAAGGTGTTGTTACAGTACATGACGATGCTGACAATCGCCCACACCAGTTCGTACTTTGCTGACCCCATCGCAGCTACCATAGCATCCGGCCCACCAACGCCTCGTTCCCACATATTGAACACACAAGTTGGCGACGTAGTCAACAAAAACAAGGCGCTAAGACACACAAGAATGATCGTCATCGAAGAGGCGCGACGTCGACGCAGATTGGCGCTTTTGTTCGAGGTCAAATTCAACCTGGCGGCTGTCCTTAACGACAAAAATGTCTTCCATATAATAACAACATTGCCTAAAATGACGAGAATAAACGGAATGAGCGAAAGAAGAACTAAATCCACCAGTGGATATACATTATGAATGAAGAAATGGTACTCTTGTGAAATTTCCAGACAAGTCAGTTTCCTGGAATCGTTGAATTTCCCAGACTTGTTGAATTCTCCGGTATCATTATTTTCTGCGAGTGTCATGCCGAATAGAAAATGAGACTGCATACAGACTTGAAATATGACGATGAAAGCGATAAGGAAACACGCCCGACGTTTTGTGCAGAATGTGTTGACCCGATGTGGCAGACAGGCTGAGCAGGTCCTTTCCAAGGTCATAAATACCAGAAGCCAGGCGGAGACGTACAACGCTACATAAACCATCCAGGTGTGTACTTTGCACAGAAGCGTGTGCTGGTTTCGGAGGTCCACCCCGAAGGACCAGACCATCCACCATCTCAGTAGACCCGTGTAGAGGACGCAGAGGTCGGAGACGGCCAGTGCTCGGAGGAATACATGCATGGAGGTTCGACCCAGGCGTAGCGTGCGAAGCATGAAGAGGATGAGAATGTTGCCAACTGTGCCAAAGAGGAACAGGATAACTGGACACGTCTGGAAGTGAAATATAAAATAGTTAAACAAGAAAGTTACTGATTTAAGAACTGACACCATAGCACACCGGGGATACCCATAGGTGCTTCGTCTCCCACAGCAGATGTCTTAAGGTGTAGATGCTAATTATTCCTGTGGCATACTGATTATAAGTCGTAGGTTCGCTTCCTGGCGGAGCCAGACTTTTGAGAAAAAATGACCTTAGCTCCCAGGTCGACCCAGCCTTGAGTGGGTACCGGGGGTGCAGTCCTAGGAAGTAGAGGCAGCCGGCATGTTGCTGACCACATCACCCGTCTTGTGCCGAAACGGTCTATAAAATATATGTCTAGCCCTATATGCCCTATAGCCTAAACGCGTGGAAAAGGGTCCTTTACTTTTACTTATACTGATTACAAACTCGTTGTTCTCTGTCTCTCATACGTCCCTTCTTGCCGGATCCACACCTAATTCATCCTTCACACAATCTTACACATGTTATTGCATCTAACCGCCTGTCTGCTATCACCATTGGTTCACAAACGGTCCTCATAATCTTCTTCTTCTTCGCGTTCACCAGATGTAAACTCTGGCGGAAAGTTCTGGTTGTTCATCCACTTCTGGACTACAGTCTTGTTCCAGAAACTAAGTGTTGCTTGTGCATCCGTTTTACAGATCTGACTCATTTGTATGCAGACTGCTGGTTCCTTGCCTCTCAGGCAGATGGACTCCGACTTCGAAGAAAGCTCCCAATTAGTCGACTCTTACGACATGCTTTTAGGTAGGCAGTGGGTCTATTCTTGTTTTCTTTATAATAGGGCCCCAGAACCCACACGGATAAGTCCTCACAATGTCTCCTTGGTACGAGTGTTTCTGTAGCTTTCGCTTTTGTAGCCAGAAAATCAGCTCTTTCCTCTCCTCGCACTCATGCATATCTCGGACAGTATATCCCCTTGAGTCCCCGTAATGCTGATGTGCTCCTGCTTGGTATCCATTCATACCACCCTTGTCTACTTTAACCTTTACACTGTACCGACTGAGAATCAGTGATCATAATTCCACTAATCACTCTATTTTCTGGTACCCACTAAAGATCTGACGTGACTGCTCCCACCTCCATTCTCAATCTTGAACTTGCAGATAAAAAGCACCATTATGTTCAGCCATGATACTTGCCTCTGCTCTAGCTATTAATACAAGAAATATCCTCTTGGCCGGTTATATTTTTGTTATTGTGTGTGTGAGAACCTGTGTGTGTGTGTGTGTAAGCCTGTGTGTGTAAATATCTGTGTGTAATCGTGTGTGTGTAAGCCTGTGTATGTAAGCCTGTGTGTGTGTGTGCAAGCCTGTGTGTGTGTGTAAGCCTGTCTCTGTGTGTGTGTAAGCCTGTGTGTGTGTAAATCTCTGTGTGTAATCTTGTGTGTGTAAGCCTGTGTGTGTAAGCCTGTGTGTGTGTGTGTGTGCAAGCCTGTGTGTGTGTAAGCCTGTGTGTGTGTAAGCCTGTATGTGTAAGCCTGTGTGTGTAAGCATGTGTGTGTAAGCGTGTGTGTAAGCGTGTGTGTGTAAGCCTGTGTGTGTGTATGCCTGTATGTGTAAGCCTGTGTATGTGTAAGCCTATATGTGTGTAAGCCTGTGTGTGTAAGCCTGTGTGTATGTAAGCCTGTGTGTGTAAGCCTGTGTGTGTAAGCCTGTGTGTGTAAGCCTGTGTGTGTAAGCCTGAGTGTGTGTGTAAGCCTGTGTGTGTGTGTAAGCCTGTGTGTAAGCCTGTGAGTGTGTGTGTGTAAGCCTGTGTGTGTAAGCCGGTGTGTGTGTATGCCTGTGTGTGTAAGCCTGTGTGTATGTAAGCCTGTGTGTGTGTAAGCCTGTGTGTGTAAGCCTGTGTGTTTGTAAGCCTGTGTGTGTTAAAGCCTGTGTGTGTAAGCCTGTGTGTGCGTAAGCCTATGTGTGTAAGCCTGGGTGTGTAAGCCTGTGTGTAAGCCTGTATGTGTGTAAACCTGTGTGTATGTAAGCCTGTGTGTATGTAAGCCTGTGTGTATGTAAGCCTGTGTGTATGTAAGCCTGTGTGTGTGTGTAAGCCTGTGTATGTAAGCCTGTGTGTGTATGTAAGCCTGTGTTTGTGTAATCTTGTGTATGTAAGCCTGTGTGTGTGTAAGCCTGTGTGTATGTAAGCCTGTGTGTGTGTAAGCCTGTGTGTATTTAAGCCTGTGTGTGTGTGTGCAAGCCTGTGTGTGTGTGTGTGTAAGCCTGTCTCTGTGTGTGTGTAAGCCTGTGTGTGTGTAAATCTCTGTGTGTAATCTTGTGTGTGTAAGCCTGTGTGTGTAAGCCTGTGTGTGTGTGTGTGTGTGTGCAAGCCTGTGTGTGTGTAAGCCTGTGTGTGTGTAAGCCTGTATGTGTAAGCCTGTGTGTATGTAAGCCTGTGTGTGTGTAAGCCTGTGTGTATGTAAGCCTCTGTGTGTGTAAGCCTGTATGTATTTAAGCCTGTGTGTGTGTGAGCCTGTGTATGTAAGCCTGTGTATGTAAGCCTGTGTGTGTAAGCCTGTGAATGTATGTAAGCCTGTGTGTGTAAGCCTGTGTCTCTGTAAGCCGGTGTGTGTGTAAGCCTGTGTGTAAGCCTATGTGTGTGTATGTGTAAGCCTGTTTGTGTGTGTTGTGTGTGTAGGAGTGGTCAAACTGTTTGACCAGCCCTCTGAAGATAGTGCATTCTTTCACGGATACGTTGTTCCTTTCATGGGAGCAGTTTTTAAAAAAAGCGTCGCTGAAGCTACAGAGTTTGTACTTTGTGTGACACTTGGCGGACAGATTAGTTTGGTTTATTGGTCCTTTGTTTTGTTGGTAATCTGGTGGATTTTTTGGTAGGCTTATTGATTCATTAGTGACTTCGTCAATGGGTAAGTTGATCGCTTGGTCGGTGTGTAGATGGTTTGTCAATTGGTTGGTTGGTAACTTGACATAACAGAACCCTTCACCCGTTATGGTCGTAGAGGTGTTTCGATGGAAGCACTAACACACAAAACTCTTCTCTTTCTGTTTTCAGCTTGTTGAACAAGTGTACGATAACTCAGTCCTGTCCATTCTTGATATTGTCATTTCAGGTTCTTCGTTACCCTTCTCTTCTTCGACAACTCTCTCCCGCCTTTTTTCCTCCCTCAAACTTTCCTTGGTACTGGTACTGGTACTGGTGTTGATAAAAAAAAACGAAAAACTTCTTGCCTCTTTCAACCGGCTCCTAGATTGAGCGTTGGTTATATCGTGGCTTTGTTTGTGTGCTTGGAGTTTGTTCTCCAATGATATATATTCCTCCTTATTTGCGGCGTTTCTATACGCCTTAGCATTTGCTCGGTGTTTGAGCTGTTATTTGTATTTGTCACGTATGTCGTCGCCTTGCCGCACTACTGCATCCTCTTGGTACGTCATCATATAGCACTCTGGTCAGACCAAAACACGGCCCTTTTCAGGGTCCCCAATTTAACTTCTTTTTGTTAGCTTTTTTGTTTTCGCTCCATACATGTGTATGTGCGTAAGCTTTTTTTTTTTTTTTTTTGTAAGCTTTTTTTTTTTTTTTTTTTTTTGCTGTTTGGCTTTTTTCTTTTTTCAATTTTTTATCCAGTTTTCTTCTGGCCACACATGGTTGAGAGGTAGTGGAGATAAGTGAGAGTAGGCTCAATTGAAAATTGAGAGATAGTGTTTGAGGACTTACAGTGAGGTCGGAAGACGGAGATAGATGTGATAGCTTAACTAAGATCTGTGTTAGTTGTCCTCTGGGTTGCTGCACTTGCTACTGAATTGTCCGCTTCCGTGGGCGTGTCAGTTCCCTCAGTTGATGTGTTGGCCTCGTCCGGGGGCTTATTTTTTGAAGTCCTGGAAATGAACTGTGTTACCAGTTTTTGCAGCTCTTTGCTGCTGTCCACTTTTAAACAATCCTCTAAGGATATCGTTTTCTTCTGTCTGTTGAAGTAATCGCCTAGCTGTTTTCTTTGATCGCTGTATTTGCGGCAATGGATTGGTACAGTCTTTGCAATCGAATAAAGTCTTAACAAGTGCCCACACCCAAGCTAGATTGCGACGTTTCACCACTGCCAAGAGAGGCTCCTGATGTTCTGCAAATATGTATATTTTGTCTCTGACACATCTGTTAGTTTTGTGTTCTAAATAACTAATTCGTAAAATTCAACTATAGCATTTACATTGGAAAGTCCGATTGCTCCATTCTATTTTCACAGTGCGAGTCCAATTTTTACATCCGTATAAGAAAATAGACAATACCAGTGATTTATGTGTATTGACCTTAACTGCGATGCTGATTTTGCTCTTCCACATCGTAATCACCTGCAAAATTGCGACTGTTGCTATAAAAACTTTTTCTTGATCTCTTTTGTACAGCTTCCATCGTTACATATGTGGGAGCCAAGATATTCAAAGGTTTGAACTTCTTCTAGGTTTTCCCCCTTTTATCTGTATGTTGGGATGTACTTGGTTATTGTAACTATTAACAAGAACCTTGCTTTTCTATGCATTCATTTCCATGTTTACCACAGACTGTCTCTAGAATTTCAGAATGTTTTCTCAATCTCTAATTAAACAGTGTTAGATGTTTTTTTTTTTTTTTTATTGGTAATAATATTTGTTATTAAACTAGAAAATAATAATAATAAAACAGATTATTACAAATACAAATGCACTAAATTTAGAAACTGCTTAACGCCCCCTCCCCCCTTGACACCTCCTCGTGACACAACCCCCCCCCCTCCCCCACTCTCCCCTGGTTGAAGATCACTATTCAACATCCTCCTCCTACTGTTGCGACAGCTGCGACTGCGGTCGTTACCGTACTGCTGATGTTGTTGACACTACTACTATTAGTATAATTACTACTTCTGTTGCTCCACCTGATTCTTCGGTACCTGTTAATGCTTCTACTGCAACTACTGAAACAACAACTACTACTATTCCCACAACTACTGCAACTACTGATACAGCAACAACAACACCTACTGCTACGAGTACTAACACTACTACTACCACCACAACTATTACTACTACTACTACTACTACTACTACTACTACTACTACTACTACTACTACTA